ATGCAAAAATAAGAAATCTAGACAGAAATGCAGATGAATAGCAACAAAGAGCAAGTCTATTCCTGATGTAACTCTGCAAGCTGAAATGTGAAGCAGAATATCCAGCAACCAGCTATGAAACTCTATCACAGGTGCCAGACTTAGTAATGACCTGGGATGTTTTCTTCATGACCAGCAGTCCATCTACCAATGGCCTATATTCTTTTCTCTTTGGGTTTGTTTTTTTTTTTTTCCAGGTTATACAGGAAATCTATTGCTTTCTTTGAGGTCAGTGAAATTATAACACCCTTGTAATTTAAGTTACTTATTTCTCAAGTAAACAGATAAATTAGACTACCATAAAACAGAGCTGCATCTAAAGGAAGTGGCAGCTCTCCAGGTAAAAGAATCAGCCATCTGCTCCAAAAAAAATCTAATAAAACCCAGTGACAGATCACTTCACTCATTGAGAGAAACTTGGAACAGTGGGGCCAAAATCAGCCTCATGAACCTGGAGGAGTCACACAAGAGTCTGCACATTATCCAGTGGGCAGTTAGTTCATCATTTGCTTTGCCGCATGCATTCAACATCTACCTAAAGCCTTAATTTTATTATTATTGTTGTTGTTATTGTTATTATTAATAATAATAATATTCCTTGCTGACATCTACTTACCAACTTTGAGATGATCTTTAGTTGGTTAACCTTTTGGGTTTTGGGCATCACTACGCAAAGGAGTAGATAAGATAGACTGAGAAAACAAGACCTTTCTATTTTGTTTCTTGGAGTGATTCTCCTGTTTAATGACTTTTCGGATAGCCAATTAGTCACGTTTGGAGTGAAGTTATTTAAGAGTCTAGAGGTTAATTAGAAAAACAACAGCTGACTTTACTGAAAGAGTTTAATTCAACTATATGAACAGAGACAAACTGTTTTCAACCGAGAAGATCTGTTTGGAGCTGGTTTGTGCTGGAATGTCACCCACACAAATCTTGTGAGGGAACATTAAGTGACAATACGCTCAAAATGATGAAGCTCATGTTGGAACAAAATCTCTGCAGCTGAAAAAAAATTGCTTAAAGGAGGAAACATTTACATTCCGGTTTCTAATTTAGCTATTACTTCATTAAATATAAAAGTTTGGTGTATTTTTTGCAAACATCTTCACACAGTCCAAATTTCTTGTCACCACATTGGTTTTCTTCATGCTTTTCCCTTTTGTTTAAGCTCTTACCTCAGGCCTTGTTCCAGGATAGGGTGTTAATTCTTTAGACCGTCTCTGTATTGCCAGACCAACTGGCAATTTAAAGTTAGGACTTTGCTTCTTAAAAAAAAAACATTAAATGTTTCTATAAACAGTAGACTCGGTTCTCTACAGCCCCAGGGCACCTGCGCTAGTCCTTCCTTCCCCAGAACCCAGACCAGTTTCCTTCTGTTGACTGAAATTAGCAATAATGAACGTATGAATAAAAAAATATCCCCCAAAAATAACAGTAAAAAATAATTCTGCTCAGGGATGCAACTCCACATACCTTCCTCTCTAGCACTGTCATTTTCTCTCCCTATGATGAAGGTCTTAAACATATGCAGTGGAAAACCCAGCATCTCGGTGTGGAAGATGCTGAAAATCAAGATTGGGAAAGAGGAATTTTCTCCACAAGACACATTTCATAAAGACGGAGACGCAACATACCCCTAGAGTCTGATCTTTCTGCTATTAGGAAAGTCATTGCTCTTGCTGCTGAATTGCTACATAAACTGTGCCTGCGGCTCGAGGGGCACCCTCAGGCTCCCCACATGCCAAACAAAGGAAGACTAATTTTCTGCCTGTAGAAACAGGAGTGCTGGGGCATGGAGTCCCTGGGTACCGTGAGCTACTTATAGCTATGCTGCATTAAGGAGGACTCTGCATTAAGGAGGTTTCTGCTATTTAAGAAGGAAGAGTAAGAAGCGGGTAGGATCCTGTACTCCTGTTTCACACACTGTCACTCAGAAACGCTGCAGAGAAATATGAAAGAATGCAGACAAAATTAAAAACAAAACACCACAAACCTAAAAACCAAAATAAAATCCTGCCTCTGCTGAAGCCAATGGTAAAGAGTTTTCCTACTTACCTATGTTACTGTTTTTCTCCAAAGGAGCAAGGTGAATGCAGAGATTTACTCTGCAGATAGAGAAACAACAAAAAAGATGATCGAATGAGAAATGCATAGACAGTTCTGAGAAAATACTGCAATATTGAATTGGGTAAGGTGCCAGCGGTGCTGACTGCTGAAGTGCAGAGGACAGGAGTTTTAGATAGACAAAGATCTACAGAAGGCTGGTTTGGGGTTGAAGTTTGAAGAGTGCATCATTGCTAAAAATCTGGCTTTTGATCTGCAAAGAAATGATAGTGCTGACAAATAAAGGAAAAAAGCACAATGTGAGTCTTTATTAAGGCAGAGTGCTGTCAAAGTAAGTATCAATTTTTTAACTTCATAATGCCAGCCACGCTGTATGAAGTAAATGAATGCAAAAGTAACATATGAGAGGTGGTTTCAACAACACGCCTATCAAGGCGACCAGTGTATTTGATTTACACGTTTCTAACTGTTATGTACTAAATATGCTAAACAATTGCATATCCTTATTTTATTGTTTTTTTACTGCTCAGGTGAATTCAATGTTTTTGCCCTCTCTCTCTTGAATCTTTATTGCTTGATCTCCATTGAACTGTGATACTTCATCTTGCATTAGATTCTAATACCCAAACTGTGTTCACCCATGCAGCAGAAGAGCTCCCACAGGACCCCTCTGGGATACAGGCAGTGGTAAGTGATGAGGTAGGAGTGGGTTTCAGTCAACTGGCATTTATGTGCGCTGTATATTTTATGTCTCTGAATTCAAGTAGCAGTCACTTTTAAAATATTAGTGCAATGGCTTTAATTAGAGGAGAACAGCAACAAAGAGCCTATAATTAAAAAAAAAAAATAATAAATTATGTAGTTGATGCAGTGAGTAGTGTCTTTGTCATAAGTCGCAGCGAGTCCACTCTGCTCTTGGGTTAGGTTCACTCATAAGTCAGCTTCAAGGGCAATCACTTCTAATTAACAAGTCTTTTGAACTCTTCCAGGGAACATGGTCCAGACCTCTAAGGTATTATAACAACAGTCAGACATGCAGCTCTTAAGGTTGTCTGTCCCTTATGTCGGCTTTTTCCAAAATGCCTTCAATAAAATTAAATTAATGGCACTGTGGTTGCATTTTTGTGCCACGTGTCCGCGCACAGCCATCCAAGTCTTTCTCACTAGAGAACCGCCTTCCATGCTCTTGGTAATTGTGCATACGTGTCCATACACAGAGAAGAAGAAAGGCAATGACAGCTGTCCAAAGACACCATCTCCTTTCTGTGCTTTAATGAGCAGTATTAGGGTTTGACACTAAAAGCACTGGTTTGAGCTGGGTTAAATCTGACTGACCTTGTGGAGGCAGGTGGCATCCATCAAAAACCTTGAGTTAGAGTCAGGTGGCAACAACAGGGTGTTTTGAACAGAGGGAAAAGTGTATTTTGAGCTGAAAGGGGGTTGAAAGAGTAAACAGAGCCACTGCCTTGCATCTGAGGTTAGATTTTTCTGATTTGTGATGCTTTCAGGACCAAGCTAGTAGAAACTTTCTTTGTATAGACAAACGTGATTTCTTTGAAGAAACAAAGAACTCCACCACCAGGTTCTCCTCCTAACTGTAAGAACATGCAGTATCACTGATAACCTTGCTAAACCCAAAGGGATGATGTGCTTACTGCCCTTTGATGTGCAGATACGGGGAGCTGCTATTCTTACCCTACTGTTTTTGCATTTAGCCTGTGGAAAACACAAACAGGTTCTCCCTGTGCTCGTCCCTTTCTCTCCCTCAAGGTTGCACAACCTCAGCAGTTGGGCTGTGGTCCTCAGGAGGAGGAGCAGGTCCTGCTGCTGGCCAGGGACATGCAGTCACCCGCACGAGGCACTCTCTGGCCTGTCAGCCCCTACCCTGGAGCATCACGCACCGCTCAAGCCCAGCTCATTCAATGCACTTATTTAAAATATTCCAGACCCCGTAATTGATAGCTGACTTTTGCAAAGGGCAATTTAGGAAGGCGTCAAGGGTTTAATCACGGCTGCACTGATGAGCTTCCCTTGAGTCACATCAACACCAGTGTCACCAGTGAGCATCCCTTTTTGTCACAGCAACTCCAGTGTCACCGGTGAGCATCCCTTTTTGTCACGTCAACCCCAGTGTCACTGATGAGCTTCCCTTGAGTCTCGTCAACCCCAATGTCAAAGATGAGCTTCCCTTTTTGTCACATCAACCCCAGTGTCACAGGTGAGCTTCCCTTGCGTCTCATCAGCCCAACCACCTGCCAACACTTCACCAGGAGCGGGGGGAAAAAAGCTCCACAAACCTATACAAAGACAGATCCGCTTTAGAAAGAAAGTAAACTAACACTCGCCTCCCTACAGTGAGCAATCCTTAGGGAATCCCGAGCAGCGCAGGGCCGGCGGGCGCGACACAAGCCGGAGGCAGGACTCGAACCGAGTGTCACCAGTGAGCATCCCTTTTTGTCACAGCAACTCCAGTGTCACCGGTGAGCATCCCTTTTTGTCACGTCAACCCCAGTGTCACTGATGAGCTTCCCTTGAGTCTCGTCAACCCCAATGTCAAAGATGAGCTTCCCTTTTTGTCACATCAACCCCAGTGTCACAGGTGAGCTTCCCTTGCGTCTCATCAGCCCAACCACCTGCCAACACTTCACCAGGAGCGGGGGGAAAAAAGCTCCACAAACCTATACAAAGACAGATCCGCTTTAGAAAGAAAGTAAACTAACACTCGCCTCCCTACAGTGAGCAATCCTTAGGGAATCCCGAGCAGCGCAGGGCCGGCGGGCGCGACAGAGGGCCCCGGGCCCCCCCCCCCCCCCCCGCGGGGAGGGGGCGAGCCACGCGTGCGCAGCGCGCGGCGGGAGCTCAGGGGCAGCGCGCGTGCGCAGTGGCTCCCGCCGGCCATGGGTGACGCGTCGCGGAGGGCGGAGTCGGGCACTCAGGTGAGGCGATGGCGGTCCCCACCCTTCCTTCCTTCCCGGGTTCCCCCCTCAGCCGCGGGGCGCCGGGGAGGGTGAGGCGTAGGCCGCAGACCGAGGAACTGCCGGGCGCACCCCTCCGCCGGCCCCGAGGGGG